TCTCTAACTCAACTGATGATATTGATTTACCTATTGAGTTACGAAAGGGTGGTCGTTCTTGTACTATGCATCCCATATAGGATTATGTCTCTTATGCCAAGCTGTCTTCAAAGTACCATGTACTTGTGAGTAAGTTTGACAGTACTCTTCTTGAACCAAGAACAGTTCATAAAGCTCTCAATATTTCTACATGGAATGCTGCTATCCAAGAAGAAATTTCAGCCCTTGAGAAAAATGGGACATGGGAGTTATCTGATCTACTTCTAGGGAAGGCTCCTGTAGGATGCAAGTGGATCTTCACCACTAAGTACAATCCTGATGGTAGTGTAAGCTGCTACAAAACACGTCTTGTTACTACAGGGTTTACCCAATCATATGTAATCGACTATCAAGAGACATTTTCTCATGTTGCCAAGCACAACACAATTCGGGTATTATTCTCTTTAACGTCTAATCTTGATTGGTCTCTCTATCAATTTGATGTGAAAAATGTTTTCTTTATTAGTGATCTAGAGGAAAAAGTATATATGGAAGTCCCACCTGGACTCGAAATGAATCCCCAAAAGGTGTACAAACTAAAAAATGCATTGTATGGTCTCAAACAGTCTTCAAGAGCATGGTTTGATAGATTCACCAGGGAACTGAAACATATGGGATATGAACAATTTCAGTCCGCTCACACTCTGTTTGTCAAGCATTGTACCACAGGAAGCAGAGTTATACTAATTGTTTATGTGGATGATATTATACTAACAGGTGATCATAGTGAAGAAATTCAGAAATTGAAAGACTTTCTAGATAAAGAATTTGAAATCAAAGACCTTGGGATACTCAAGTATTTTTTTGGAATAGAAGTTGCTAGATCCAAGAAGAAAATTTCTATATCTCAGCGGAAGTACATCTTAGATCTCCTGGATGAGACAGGCATACTTGGTTGTAAACCTGCAGAGACTCCTATGGAAACAAATACTAAATTTGGTTCGAAAAGTGACAGTAAACTTGTTGATAAAGAAAGGTATCAAAGATTTGTAAGCAAACTTATCTACTTGGCTCACACAAGACCTGACATCAGTTTCGCTATTAGCACTGTGAGTCAGTTCATGTCTCAACCTACTGAAAAACACATAAGTGCTGTGTATCGTATTCTGAGGTTTCTAAAGATGACACCTGGATGGGGATTATTCTTTTAGAAAACTATGTTTAGAGATATTGAGATCTACACCGATGCTGATTGGGCTGAATCTGTGACAGATAGGAGATCGACATCTGATTATTGCTCTTATGTTTGAGGTAATTTAGTCACTTGGCGCAGCAAGAAACAATCTATTGTATCAAGGAGCAGCGCTGAATCTGAATTATAATCACTTGCGTATGGTATATGTGAAAGAGTATGACTTAAAAAGATTTTACTTGAACTAATATTTTTTGCTTACACTGCAATGCAGATCTGGTGTGACAATCAATCAACTATTAGCATGGGGAAGAATCCTGTGCACCATGACAGAACTAAATATGTTGAGATTGATCGTCACTTCATTAGAAAGAAAATTAAAAATCATGATGTATCACTATTATACATCCCGACAAGTCAACAAACTGCAGAAATACTTACTAAAGCTCTACCAAAAAGAGAATTCAATTATCTTGTATCCAATTTAGGGTTACTTAACATTTACGTAACCTAAATTGAGGGGGAGTGTAGAATGTACATATGTAGAAATGTATATATATATGTATACTTATACTAGGGATAATTTAGTCTTTTCTCTAGTTGTTAGAACAACTGATATTGTAGAACAGTTGGGTATTCTTTCAACTAATTTTTTATCCTTTTGTTAGCACTTTTTTAACCGTTTTTGTCTTGGCCAATGGCCTATATAATGGCACATTTGTGCCTATGAAATAAAAAGGAAAATCAGAGGAATCTCCTCTTTTCACATAAACTTCTTCCTTTATTCTCTTCACATATAAAACATGATTAGTAAAAATACTTGTTGTTGTGTCCATTATTAGTAAAAATGGGAAGTAAATTGTTTTTAGAGATTTCCTTCATGTTCCTAAAAGATAAAAAGATTGATTACTTCCTAGCTTGTTTTGACTACTAATGCGAGAATGCTATCTATTTTCTTCCTTTTTTGTATACTCTTGTTAGGATTTTGCATGAAAGTTCATGCCAATAAATAGGAAATTTTATTTGTGCCATCCCCTTAGGGAATCATGGTTTCCTGACAAAAGATGGCTCAAATCAGTGATATGAAGAGGAAGTTGATTTTAAATGCATTTATTGGATTTACTCCTGAGACTTTCTACTGTCAACTCCACTGCATTAACCTGCAGCTATTAAACTTCTTTGATAGAAACTGAAAGTACACTTACTACCTTCTCGCCCTTTCAAGAAGCATCACAGAAGTATCCAGCTAGCACCAAATTTGAAATTTGTTACTTGTTTACACTAATTCTGTATTGAGTGAGGTTTAGAACTCTATTTATTCTCTCTAACAAATTTTTTCTTTCTTTTTTCTCTCTTTCTTTATTTCTTCATTTTCTTCCCCTTGGCCCCCCTCCCTTGGTTGTCTGAGTTACTATGTTTTTCTTTAGTTGGGTCAAAGAGTAAGCAATTTGGCTAAAGACATGGATGAAGAAGATGTGCTTGTAATTCATAAAATTTTGTTGCTACTGCAGATTACATCTTTGAACATTTCATTGGTTGTCCATGGGTCAGTATAACAACTTTTAGAAGGTAATAGAAGATAGATTGATACTTGTAAATCACATTTTTTCCTGATGGATCATCAAGATAATGAGATATTTTTTTTTCATTTCTAGTCTCTGAAATATTTATATAGGAGAGTAGACAATGCATATTCTGTTCCCCTCGGTATGGATATCTTCAAAGTTCTAGAAAGCCCAATGGATATTGCAACTTCCACTATATAATAAGGTGAATAGTTATCAAATTGTGAAGCATACCAGGCTTGCATACATCCCACATGCTATTTTAAGTTATCGAACTTCTGTGCCTTCTATATATTAAACATAGATAAAGTTGGTGTATGACCAATTTTGATATAATGCAATGGTTCACTAGTTTGGGGCCTTTTTCAGCTGTGACCTCTGTTATTTACTAGTATCTAGGCCAGTGCTGTTTCTTCTGCAGAAGCAAAATGAGAAAGAGGTGGCAAGTGAAAAAAGGTATTACAAGGAGACAACATAAATGTCTGACGATTGATTGAACTTCAACTCTTAGAGTTATATATTACTTATAACATCAGAGAACCATGTAGAGAGAGTCACTTGTTATAGAAGCATTAATCATTTCTATATATTTCCATCTTCAATCTTCGCTTTCCTGGTATTTGATCCAAGATTTTGATTAGTAGTAGCATGGTTAGGATCATTTTGGCACTATTTGTAATGATGCCTCTATTTTCTATAATAACATTAAAAAAAAAAAGAATATAAATAGGGAAAAAATGGCTTTGCAGATGAGTTGGGATGAATGGGGGAGAAGGATTTGCTGGTCTGGTTATAAGGAATCCCTTAATGTGGTTCTATGAATCTGATGTCATGGGACTATTTTTGCTGCATTTCTAGGGGACCCCCTACCTGATGTGAGAGGCTTAATGGGAAACACCTTTGATGTGAGAAACACCGTTAATATGAGGAAAGGATTTGTTATCATAACCAATTGTTTTGTTTTTTGCAGGTTATTTTACTAGTTTGTTTTAGATAAAGGAGGACGGGATCAGTCGAAAACAAGTGAAGCAGAATGTTATTGGGAAGGAAATGGAGAGTAAAAAAGGAAATTGGTGTTTATTGATGGGTGGTGTCATGTTGAGACTTGGTCTGGCTATCTTTTTGGGCGTGCAAATGATCATGATATGTTTTTTTTCTCAATATATTTAGTGAGTTTAGAGAGTTAGTGATTAGAAAGTGAAGATGTTGGCAGCAATGCAGTTTGGTTCATTTTCCAGTGTAGTCTAACATGATTTTTTTTCTCACTAGTAATTTTTATGTGTTTAGTGAATTGAGGAATCAAAAGAGCTGCTCAAGTTATTTGTGTAAAAGAATTAAATGATGCAGAGTAATCTGCAACTGCTTTGTGTTGTTTGCTTTTTTCTACAGACAATTGCAGAATTTGATTATACCTCTACTAATCAGCAACTACAAAAAAGAATCAATGATATATATAAATAAAATAATATAATAAATAATAGATTGATTAATTAAATTTAAAAGTATAAGGTTTTTGTTTAATTTTGAATCACATGGATCTTAAATTTTGCCCATGTAATTTGATTGGTTAGAAGTGCATTTGTGGTCAGTTGTGCTCTGACAGGAACAAAATAGTTCCATTTGCAAAGGTGTATCAAAGAAAAAAATGCAAAAAAAATATTATTAGGTGACTGATAAATTATATGTGCAAATACTTAAGTATGTAATATGTTTGGTGTAGTCGGAATTTAACTGCTTTGATAATTATATGAGTGTGTAAAGATTAAAGTCAAGAGGGGTTGTTTAGGCAATTCTGGAAGTCCGTTTCCAGAATTTAGACTGCATCTGCGGCGTTTAAGATAAGGCTGTTTTCTTCAAGACAGGATATGTATGAAGAATTTAAGCACTTGAATTGATCAACAGAGATTTTGAACCCCATATTTTTCCACCAAAATTGAAGTGTTCGCAGAGGTTACTCAGTGGTTAAATAGTGTCCTGATTATTAAAAGCCATCAGTCAACAACTCTTTGATTGATATTTACAGAAGCAT